TCTAGATATAGGATCATGTCATCTGCAAACAGAGACAGTTTGACTTCCTCTGTTCCTATTTGAATATCCTTTATTTCTTTCTCTTGCCTTATTTCCCTGGCCAAAACTTCCAAAACTATGTTGAAATGGAGTCGTGAGAAAGGGCATCCTTGTCTTGTGTCTGTTTTCAAGGGGAATGCTTCCAGCTTTTGCCCATTCAGTATGATATTGGCTATGGGCCTGTCATAAATGGCTCTTACTATTTTGAGGTATGCTCCATCAATACCTAGTTTACTGAGAGTTTCCTTTTAACATGAAGGGATGTTGAATTTTATCAAAGGCCTTTTCTTCATCTATTGAGATGATCATGTGATTTTTGTCTTTAGTCCTGTTTATGTGATGAATCACATTTATTGATTTGCATATGTTGGACCAACCTTGCATCCAGGGGATGAAGCCAACTTGACCGTGGTGGATAAGCTTTTTGATGCACTGCTGGATTTGGTTTGCCAGTATTTTATTGAGAACTTTTGCATCAGTGTTCATCAGGGATATTGGTCTGAAGTTTTATTTTTTGTTGTTGTATTTCTGCCAGGTTTTGATATCAAGATGATGCTGGCCTCATAAAATGAGTTAGGAAGGAATCTTTCCTTTTCAGTTATTTGGAATAGTCTCAGAAGAAATGATATCAGCTCCTCTTTGTACCTCTTGTAGAATACAGCTGCAAATCTGTCTATTCCTGGGCTTTTTTTTTTTGGTTTCAGAATCTGTTATTTGTCTATCCAGGGATTCAACTTCTTCCTGGTTCAATCTTGGAAGAGTATATGTGTCCAGAATTTATGCGTTCATTTCTTCTAGATTTTCTAGTTTATTTGCTTAGAGGTGTTTATTGCGTCCTCTAATGGTTGTTTGTACTTCTGTGGGGTCAGTGGTGATATTCCTTTTATTGTTTTTTATTGTGTCTACTATGTAGCCAACAAACATATGAAAAAAAGCTCAACATCACTGATCGTTAGAGAAATGAGCATCAAAACTACATTGAGATACCATCTCACTCCAGTCAGTATGGTGATTATTAAAAAGTCAAGACACAAAAGATGCTGGTGAAACTGTGGAGAAACAGGAACACTTTTACACTGTTTGTGGGAATGTAAATTAGTTCAACCATTGTGGAAGACAGTGTGGCAATTTATCAAAGACCCAGATCCAGAAATACCATTTGACCCAGGAGTCCCATTACTGGGTATATACCCAAAGGAATGTAAATCATTCTATTATAAAGATACAGGTACATGTATGTTCATTGCAACACTATTTAAAATAGCAAAGACGTGGAATCAACCCAAATCCCCATCAATGATAGACTGAATAAAGAAAATGTAGCACATATACACCATGGAATACTATACAACCATAAAAAGGAAAGAAATCGTGTCCTTTGCAGGGACATGAATAGAACTGGAAGCCATTATCCTCAGCAAACTAACACAGAAACAGAAAACCAAACACCGCATGTTTTCACTTATAAGTGGGAGCTGAACAATGAGAACACATAGACCCAGAAAGGGGAGCAACACACACTGGGATCTGTTGGAGTGGGGAGGGGTGGGTAAAGGTAGGGAGAGTATCAGAATAAATATCTAATGTGTGCAGGGCTTAATGTGTGCAGGTGTTGTGTTGATCTGTGCAGCAAACCACCATGGCACATGTTTACCTATGTAACAGACTTGCAAGTCCTGAACATGTATTCCAGAACTTAAAATAAAATAAAATAAAAAAGAAAATAAAGTTGTTTGGTCTTAGTAACAGTAATGAAGATCTCTGTAGACAGAGATTTCTAAACTTTCTCAGTCTTAGTGTCCGTAGTGTCTCAGTAATTTTTTTGGTGCCTCTGGGTCAAATTAAGTAACTGAAAGTTCCATTTATTAAGTAGTTGGGCTAAAACAACTTCATACATATTTATGTCCTAATAACTTGTTGATTATATAAAAGAAATATGCATAAAATGGACAAAAAATATTTTCATTTTATTCTTAAATAACTTCAACTACTTATCAATGGGATATGTACATGAAGAACATAGAACACACAAATTGAAGGAAAAGAGTACATTTTTGTTTTATCTTTAAATAATTTTAATTTCTTACTTGTGGAATATATATACCTGTTAGGCACTACTTAACTTTTTAAATCTGGGAATCACTTTAAAAACTACCACCCTCATTTTCTATTCAACATTAATTTTCATGTCAGTATCTGCTTTTTACCACAGCAGCCACCAAAACCCTGTTTTTCAAAGATATGATGTTACTGAAAGGAATGTAGCATGCTCTAAAGTGGAAATTGTAAACTATCTTGAGCTAGTGGTACATGCAGTATATTTCACTGTGTTTTCCTTGAACATTTACAAGATATTGGGCCACTTCTGTGACTTTGCTGCAGAGCTTTGGGCATCTTAGTTTATGGTTTGCGAACTGCAGCTTTTGAGTGAGATCATTCTAATTACCATACTGACCCAAGCCATCTATTTTGGTAATAATGTACACCTTATACTTGGTGGTGAAGTTCCACCTTGAGTCTTTCAATCCATGTTGAAATCACTGAGCTCATTTCAACCTCAGCATCTCTCACCTACAGAGAACAACTTGGACACTTTATAAAGATGCTGGGATTCCCTTCACCAATATATTTTTGAAGGCTTTAGTAATGGGAGTATTTTGAGGACCCTTTCAGAGGTCATAGTTGGGTATGAGGGTCAGTGGATGATAAAATTCACTTCAACAGTCTTTCAATGTCTTTGGATAACTTTCTTAATAACATTCCAAGAAATTTATGAAATGTCAACTTTATTTCCTGTGGCCAATGTTGAATGTAGAAGTAAGTCAGTTAGGAAAGAAACCAACCCAAATGTCCATCAATGATAGACTGGATAAAGAAAATGTGGCACATGTACACCATGGAACACTATGCAGCCATCAAAAAGGATGAGGTCATGTCCTTTGTAGGGACATGGATGAAGCTAGAAGCCATCATTCTCAGCAAACTAACACAAGAACAGAAAACCAAACACTGCGTGTTCTCACTCATAAGTGGGAGTTGAACAATGAGAACACATGGAGGGGAACATCACACACTGAGGCCTGTTGGGGGTTGGAGGGCAAGGGTAGGGAGAGCATTAGGACAAATACCTAATGTATATGGGTCTTAAAACCTAGATGATGGGTTGATAGGTGCAGTAAACCACCATTGCACATATATATCCATGTAACAAACCTGCACATTTTGCACATGTATCCCAGAACTTAAAGAAAAAAATAATAATAATAAAGAAAAGGAAACAATAAGATCCAGCAGCTTGAACTAGTGTATTAACTTTTAAAAAATGTGTTCATTGTACCTATATTAATAAATTCAGTTGATTAAATTGCAGTGCCTTTCTTAGTTGAACACTCTCAGAATCCAGAAATTAGCACATATATAAACCATATCTTTCCTAATATGACTTACACAATTTTTGCAATTATTGTAACATAGATTTTATCTTCTCAGATTTGGGGCACACTGGAAATCCGATTCTAGTTAGGATTCTGGAGAAAGTGAAGGGTGGGGTAACGGAGCATGAAGAGAAATGGATTCCAATTGTAAATTACCTTCTACAGATTAGAGAGTTGCAGGGTCCTCAGGAAAGGCAGGAATAATTATTTGAGACAAGGGAGAAGCTACTTCCATTGAGAGAGGAAACTAAATGGAAGCTGTAGGTTCTTGATTTTCCAAGTCCTCCAAAACCCTCAGTAAGTGCTCCATTCCAATTTTGGGCATTCCATGTGTTCTCTGTCAGTGTCCACATTTTCAGAAAAAGGTCTGGGAAATCCGTGAACTCAATGGATGTAATTCAACAACGCGCATGATAGAACTTAGTGCTTATTATTCATTTATTTTAGCTAAGTAGCTATAAGAGATTAGAGGCAATTTTACAAAATTATATTAATCCCTATAATTAAATTCATAATTTTAACTAATAATTTAGGGTTATAATATTGTCATTGGACCTCATCCTTCAATTTTTTAGACACTTTTTATTGTTCTATGGCAATGGATACTTGTTTCCCCTCCTTCCAAGTGGTTTGTGATCTTCTCAGGTAATTGCAAGTAATAATTTTTAGAATCTTTATTTTAAGCATTTTCAGCCACATAAAAACTAGAGAAAATAGCATAAATAAAATACATATATACATCGCTTATGTTTAATGTTTACAAATATATTGCCAAATTTACTTATAGACAAAATGGCTTTTCATTGCAAATATGGAAATATGCATATTTAAAGAAATAATATTTTCTTCCATAAACACAATACCATGACTATACCTAACACATTGAACACAAATTCCCTAATATCATCACATCATAGGTCACAATTTCATTAGTCATGCCATCAATCTGTGCCAAGAGCATCAGTGTTCCCCATCCTTTAACACTAGCTATATTTTCACTGCCTTTGTCAGCAAATAAGCTACATAATAAATTCCATGTATTGTTTTATCCATTCCTCTTTCATTATCCTATAGCTCTGTAAATTGCAATAACTTCTACTAGGATTTTTGTGCTAGTCAAGATTCTATTAGTGAATAAAACAGAAATTAATCTGGTTAACTTAAGTAGAATATAAATTTATAGGAATAATATCCCATACCTCCATTTGAAGGATAATAGACCAGGCGTAGATGGAAACCAGAGGAAGTGAAGCATAGTCAAAGATATGCCATAGGAGTTACCCTCTCTGATCACTGCTGGTTGGCATTGTCACCATGCGTCCTTTGTGACCACACGACTGGGGTCTCAACTCTGTAAATCTGACCCTGAACCTGTAGGTCATTCCTTCAAATATCAGAGGCATGAGCTCACACTCTAGCTGACAGGAAGTAAAGGGTGATAATGTCTATTCTTGGAAGTAAAGTCTTATCTCTCACTCATGTTGGAATTCCCCCAATTATGAAAAAATATCTGGATGTTCATTTCAGGTCAGATTCTCCACATGGCAGGTTTTGAGATAAAGATTTGCTTAACTGGATTTTAATGCACACGGACCAAACGTTGCGGGAGGAAACGTTCAAATTTGAAGTGTCTTTCAGCACACCCAGATGTCTAGAATTACTTAGAAATATCTGGTATGTTTCTTATCTGGTTTCATTTGTTTGTTTGTTTGTTGTTTTGGATATTTCTTATTTGTAACCATAATAACAAATGAACTATGACTTGTACCAAGAAAAAAGCCAGAATGCCTCTACATATTTTCCTAGAAACTAAAAAATAAGTATAAATGTGGGAAATATATTATCTAGCATGAAAACTTTTAACTAGGTGAACAAAGTTAGGCAACAGACTGAGCAGCTGTTTGACTTGACTTTTAGTTACCATGGTGACTTTTAGTCAGGACACAATCCTGAACCATTTAAGCTGGGTGACCAATTGAGGTCACTGTATTCTAATTAAGCATTCCTCTTTGAAACAGATGACAGATGCTTTATGAATATTTTTCCTACATATCCTTAATACGCAGAGTTGATGTGCTTTCTTAATTTTGCAATTCAGTTATTTAAATCGTATGCTTTCTTTTGTTGATTAATAGCCCTTGTTTGTGCATTGGAAATGCCATTATCCAAATGTTAACAATGTGAGTTATATCTAATATTTTTAAAGTTTGAAATATATAACTAAAAAGTACGATGATTGACAAAAGATGACATAGCAGGTTATGTGTATGTGTATCTCTGTATGTGTATACTTGAAATTCAGTGCTTTAAAATAGTTGCTATTTTTGAAATAGATAAACTATAGAGAATCATGAACTTATTGATCACCATCAAGATTGTTATAATATCCTTGCAGTTGTACCTTAAATTCTGTGTCATCCAGTCTCTGTTAAGCAAGTTGGTCTTTATGGAATCACTGACAGGTCATTCTTAGGTTAGCAGATTCTGTTTTCCCTATGCATTGTACTTTAGCAAATCATACTGTACTCATTAGTATAAATTTGGAATTAAGTAATCATAAAAATAATCCAGTTAGGACCATTTTTTTGGTGGATTCTTTTGGTGCCTTCACTCTCAGATAAATAATGATCTACTGAGAACATTATTCAAATTCAAATGAGACTTTTTGTGTCTGTTTTTCCTTTATGTCGTTAATATGTCTGCGTTATCTGCCAATCATACGTAAGCTGCTTGATGGCAGGAGCCCGGATTTTTATACCTGCATAGCCCATGCAAGATCTAAGTCAAGTTCACATTTGGTCAGGTCTGTGGTGGCATGGGGCGATCAACCCTGCGGTGTGCAAACATTAACAAGAGACTGTCCTGGGCCCCCTGGCTCAAAGAAATGAAAAGGAAGAATGAGCTAGTCAGGAAACAAAACTAGAAGCAGGAAGAACAGTGGTCCTGAACTACATTGAGTCAGTGGTGGATTTAGGAAACCTATTGAGGAGAAGTGAAAAGGACAGACACTGGAAGCCAAAGTGGGCTCAATTGAGAAGGGACAGCGGAGGAAATGCTGGGCCTGGACAGAGCCAGAGAGTACATGAGAACTACTCTGGACTAGATAGAAGATGATGACAGGCATGAGGGTCAGGACCAAAGTTCATTAAAGTGGTTATGGTGGAAGGCTGGGATCCTAAAGAAGGAGGACCAAATCTGGAGCGAAGGAGCGAGGAGAGAAAGAGAAGTGGGAACGAGGAGTGAAAGAGAAGTGGGAGTGAATGTGACGAGGGGCCAGAAGAAAGACATCTGGGTTCTGTTCCAGCTGCACTTATTCCTGGTCATCCCGTGAGTCTGGCCTGCTTCTGACAGATGCACATAATCAAATATGGTTTATGTAGCTGTCTCTGGACTTTGTTTGCCCTCACTTGCTCTCTTTTTTTCTCTCTAGCTCTCTCACTTTTGCTCTTGCTCTCTCTCGTACCATGAGACCACAAAATGCAATTAATAGGCAATTCAAGTTATTACTATCATAGATATTAAAACCAAGAAAATGACACTTCTAAGTTCAGCAAACTACATGAAAAACAGTAGCACGAATAAAGGATACCCGGCATGGTCCAGGATGATAACCAAGAAAAATGGAGAAGTGGTGAGGGCAATTTGGAGATAGCCAGTGAAATGACAGCTGAACTTATTACAAGCCAGACAGCAGTCTGGAGTCTCTCTTCACGGTAGTTCTAATTTTGAAACAGTGATAGAAGGCAGATATTATTATTTTGCTTTTAAAATAAGGAAACTGAGGCTCAGAAAAGTGAAGTAACTTGCCCAACGTCACACAGCTCAGTGACAAAACCAGTATTCATATCTGGGTCCCTTTGACTCAAATCTGGGCCTCTTTCTGCTTCTTTCTGAGGAAATTCTCTATTTTGAGAAGATCCAGTGGCTTCTGGATTCCTCAGAGCCATGTCTTTCCTGGTGACCTTTTTCCTGATATTGATGAAAGGAACAGTTATCAGTGGAGTCTTACAGATTTACTCATGGGCATTCTGTGCTATCCCCCAGAGCCTTTGTTTCTTGACACATTCCCATCTCCCACTTACCTTGATGTTACAAATGGAATAGCACAAATGAATAAAACAGTTTTGATAGAAAATAATGTGATTCAAACCACTTATGTAACTGGTCTTGAATGCATGGTCTGCTGCTTCCTCACTGGAGCTAGATTTAATTCTTAACTCAGCCACAGAAGGCAAACTTGAGTACATCACTATTCTCTGTGCCTCTGGCCACTGCTTTCTGCAGGAAGGACATTTATAGAAACTAGAGGGATGAGGAAACTGCATCTAAACTCCCTGTGTTGGCGGGATCAGCAGTTGTAAGCCGCTAGGAAATTGCCAAGTACTGTTGAAATTTCCGTGCCTGATCCAAGATGTTGTTTACGCACGAGGCCCAAAACTTTCCGGTCTCAGGAAATACCAATGATCCTTGGCTGAAGTCAATATACCAAAAAACCTTAAGAAGTTATTCAGAAATTAATTCTGAAAGCCTCCCACGGTCATACAAGGCAAGTCAAATACTGACATTGTATGTGGAAGATAAGAGTGCAATTTAAACATTCATGATGGATCCAAATTTTATCTGGTCTACTTCCGGATGGTGCTGTCTGGGAGTGTGTGCTTCCCTATGAAAGGAGCTCAGTCAGAAGTTGCTTGGGATTCTGTGACTTCCTGCTGGCCTTTGAAGGCTTGGTATCATTAGTCATCATGGGATGATTTGTTTACCTTTTAGTCATATCTGATTAGGATTCATTCATTCATTCATTGAACAAATATTAGCTGAGCCTCTACTATGTGCCAGATTCAGTGTAGGAACTGAGGACACAATGCTAAGCAGAAACAAGCACACTTCTTATATTCAAGGAGCTTATAGTCTAATAAAGGAGAAAGATAAATAAAATCACAGAAATACATAACTTCTAACTGTGAGTAATTTGGAGAAAATGATAGCCAGGTTTTGAGAATGCATAGCATGGATTGAATCTAGTCTGCAGTGTTAGGGTAAATGTCCTCGAGAATTGATGTTTGAACTGAGATTTGGAAAGCATGGACCACGGCTTGAACCTTGGGGACTGACGATGAATTAAGACTAGGATTGGGCCGGGCGCGGTGGCTCAAGCCTGTAATCCCAGCACTTTGGGAGGCCGAGACGGGCGGATCACGAGGTCAGGAGATCGAGACCATCCTGGCTGACATGGTGAAACCCCGTCTCTACTTTAAAAATACAAAAAACTAGCCGGGCGAGGTGGCGGGCGCCTGTAGTCCCAGCTACTCGGGAGGCTGAGGCAGGAGAATGGCGTGAACCCGGGAGGCGGAGCTTGCCGTGAGCTGAGATCCGGCCACTGCACTCCAGCCTGGGCGGCAGAGCGAGACTCCGTCTCAAAAAAAAAAAAAAAAAAAAAAAGACTAGGATTTGACAAGTCCCTGGAAGTGTGCAGACACTAACATCTGAGTAGTCAGCAGAAAGCTTGCTTGGTTTTAGCTCTTAAGATGGTGCCATATTTCAGCAAAGGAGGAGCCCATGCTTGTGCAGACACAGCCTCATCCAAGTGTGATCCATATCCTCTCTCCAGATCATCCTTGATACCTGGTTTGGTTTGCCTTAGCTGTAACCCATTTTTCCTATATGTTTTACAACATCAGAGTCAATTGATCAGCTCCCTCTTGAAAGTCTTGTGGTCCATTACTAACTACTGAGCTGATTCTACCATTTGCTTTCTTCCTTTCCTGCTTTCTTACCCTCTATCCACCATTCTGTCCCCATTCATTACTGCATTTCTTCCAATTTTCTCTCTTTCTTTGATTGTTATATATACATTATAACTTTCGTTATAACTTATACATAAGTTGTATATACATTATAAATTATACACAAGTTCCAAGACTTCTAGACTGTAACTGTGACCACTGGAAATAGAGACAAATGCAATTCCTGTGTCATGCGCTCCTAGGTACAGTGAACAATGCACACAGGCATCTTTCTATGTGATCTTCCCCCACCATATAGTGAAACCTAGGTGGAGTTGAATCACCTTTATGATGAAATTTGCCCAAATCTATCCTCCTGTGGATTATCTTTACCTGGGAAATGTGTGCGCTAAGAGCTTTTAATAAAGGAACTGTAGTTCTCTTCCTTTATTGTGTTTCACCGAGGCTGCAAGAGGTGTGACATATAAGCTGAAAGTAAATTTAATAGGAAACTGAGGTTTTGTTTCCCTAGCAACGTTAATTCAGCCTTCTTACAAATGGAAACAACACTGGAGGCCTTTGTTTCTGCATTCCCAGCTCTACAGGGCAATGTGACATGCTGAGCACTCTGGTAACAGTGCGGTATAATAGAATTCTGCAGCATTTACTTTAGAATTTTCTCCCACTGAATTTCATACAACCTCGTGGGCATTCTGCTGGAGCTGATATTCATCCTGTTTGCTGAAAAAAAATGAGGACAGAGGAATATTCAGTGTTGTGACTTAGTACATCAGGACATGCATTGTCAGCAGGGCAGGGCACATTATGCAAGGGCAGGAGGAGGAGTTTGGGGATTCAGGACCAATCATGGCTAGAAGGATCTCCCTGCTGTTCAAGGTCAAAGTGGACAATGATCCAGTAGCTCAGATATTCAGAGCTGGAGCACTG